GAACTAAAATTCAAAACAAGAATATCACACAACAAGGAGCAGAACCTAATGGTTCTGTACTTTTCATATAGAGGATAAAGATATTGGTTAGCTGTAGAATATGTTTAATTAAACGCATGTGTTTTTTAAGTAAAGATTTCAAGGGGAACCACTGAAAAACAAAAATCCGCCTGAGTAGGGGAAGCGGGGAGAAGCGGGGAGAGGGAGGAATAAAGTGAACCAGAAAGAAAGTGGGGAGTCGGGGAGGGGAGTTGAACGAGAAGAACCCTGAAGAAGTTCACAGCGGCACCCAGCAAAAACGAACAATTGTATGGCTTCTTCCTACTTTAGAAGGGAATTTTTTTGTAAAGTTGACAGTTTTCCTAACACTTAGTTGCCATTTTTTATGTGTGCACTTCTTTGGATCTGAGGCTCCAGGTCGTCCGTGTGGTGTTCGAGGCCACGGGGCCTTGCCCCATCAGCTGGAAACATCTGTAAATCAGACTCTGGTGCTGGCTGTGCAGGGGCAAGAGGTGGGCTAAAGAATTTTCCCACCGCAGGAAAGCCCTGCCCTTCCTGCCGTTTCCTATTTCTCTTCTTTCGATATACTTTTCCTGGAAGTTTTCCTGATTGACCCAGGCAGCTAATAATGTAGCAGAGGGCAGGGAAATACCCAGATTGAGCAACAAAAATGGACGCCACCCACCACCTGAGCAAAGGTCACAAACGTCTGCTGGATCTGGGCTGAGCCCAGACACCCATCCCCTCTGCAGCCTTCCTGTCACTCACAGAAACCCTCCCCTCTGCCCCTCTGCCCTGTCCCCACTGGGAGTGGAGAGGGAGGACCAGTGGGAAAGGAAGGGAGGAGTCTCACCCCAGACCACGCGCGCCTCCCCCACTCCTCCTAGTCCAAGCCAGGTCTGCTCCAGCAGAGGGGAGAGCTAGCTCTGATGACTGCAGTTTTTAAAATGAGTAGGACAGGGCCTAGATCACCAAATGGGAGGCCATTTTAATGACCTAGTTGTGGAATCTGGAATCTGGTCCTGATGTTAAAGGAACCAAGATTCAACGGGGAGACGACAAATTAACAAAACACCACTAAAAGCAGTGACTAGAAGAGAAAAATAAAACCATTTCCCGTTTACACTCTGGATGGTTTTAAATCCTTCAGTAAATATGTTACACGTAACTAGGCTTGGGCCTCCTGTAGGGGCTGTGCAGTCTGTCCGTCTGTATCTGTACAGTTTCACCGCCAGGACTGAGCTGTACAAATAGCTGTCAGTTTTGCCACACAAAAGCAGAAGGGAGGAGTGCGACATCCGATTTTCTGCAGAAAAGAAAAAGAAGATTCAGACTTCTAAGTCTATTCACAGGAGCGGAGGGAGAGAGGAGGGGCCAGGGAGCAGGAATAGAGGAAGTGAGGAGGGCATCGGGTCACAGAGGGGGAGACCATCTTCCCCACCAGACCGGGAAACTCCAGGGGGGAGGGGGAAAGAAGTTGCCAGACAGAAACAGACCATTTCATGCAACAACCCAAAAAAAGTGGAGAAAAAACCACCCCACCAAGTTGACATTTGTTTACCAGAATAAAAAAGGAAAGGAATTTCTATCCAATCTGGCCATAAAAGGACTAGCTTAGATACACGGAAGCAGAGATTAATACCATCTTAAGCTAAGGAAAAGTGAAGATGCCTCCTTGTACTTGTAATTTTAGTGCTTCTTATCACTAAAATTCCCTTTTAAAACCCCAAGGTTAAGAAGTTCATGAAAAGAATTAAAACAAAGAGATTCATTTCTAGGGGCCTTGTTGCATATCTGAATTCTCCCCCGCAAGCCGCCCGGCTGTGGAATCTACACCAGTGCTCCTCAAAACCTACTGAGCACGCAGAGCTCCTGGGACCTTGTGAAAATGCAAGTGCTGACTCAGCGGGTCTGAGGCAGGGGAGAGATTTTGCATCTGTAGGAAGCTCCCAAGTTGCCCTCACAGCAGGAATTTAGACCACCCACTGGATGACAAAATTTTCCTTTTACAGAATCTAGAAGTGAAAAAAAATCAACCTTTTCCCCTTAAAAAAAATTTTTTTTATTTATTGAGCAAATATTTATTAATACCTCCCATGAGGTTGGGTACAGGACTAACATAGCCTTTTCCCAGCCCACGGAGAGGCAGGGGATTGGGAGCCCAGAAACTGTGACATCTTCCCTCCCTCCACTCCTGGCTGGGCATGACTCAGACACCTGCATTGCCAATGCCAGCGGGTCAGCATCGTGCCATCCCTTGGGTGGCTGTGACCTGCCCCCTGCCCCCAAAGGCCTAAGATCACAGGGGGCAGGTGGGTTTCTCCTACCGCTTCACTCCCCCAGCCACGATTTCTCCCTCCTCCACCTCGTCTGCTCCAGTGACACAGCCCAAGGAACAGACAAGCCCAATGTGAGATAGGGCAGCTCCACAAAGTCCCACTCTGGGGTAGCAGAGCCATCTGCCCCAAGTGGAAACAGAAAGGACAGAGTCTCAGGGCCCTGCTGGACAGGGGACACTGAGGAGGCACCAGGAGTGCTGCGATAGGAAAACTGACTGAGACACAATCAGCCCCCACTTTCCAAGTATCTCCCCTTCCTCTCTTTGGCCACGTGGCTGGATCCCTGATGGGAAGACATTTCAGAAGCACGCCCTGGCCTCTGGCAGTTTGGGCTAAAACCTCACGCTGAAAACACCAGAAGCTGCTCTTCACCTTAGCATCTGAGCTCCTGGAAGAGATTATACTAGAAAAGTGAGGTTTACTAGAAGACATTGTACTAGAAATGCCTGTGAGATTATACTTGAGGTTTGGAGAAGAAAGAAGGAGATGGGTGCTACTAAGGCACCACTGGGGGGTGGGGAGATGTCCTGGAGCCCATGAGAGGCCGGATGTAGAGGGGGGGATAGGGCAGCGGGATCGGCCAACGCTGAGTGATAGTGGCCCGTGTGCTGATGGCTGTGTCTGTGCCCGGGAACGCCAGCCCAGGGAGCTGCAGCTCTTCGCCCTGGCAAAGGTAGGTGTGGTCCCAAACCATCGGAGGCACCCCTTTGTGGGAGGCTTGAGGCTGCAGAAGGGGCTTCCCAACAGTGAACAGGGAAGCGAAGGGTCTAAAGTTTAACCCTACATGCAAGTCAACAAGTCAGCCTACCACAGTTTCACAGATGCTGCTAGAAGCCACAAAGGCCCTGCCAGAGTCATGACAAACAACAATTTGTTATGCACAGCAGTGGCAGTGGCCACAGTAGCAGCATTTTTGCACTGTCCTGTGAGCCCAGTTCCCACGGGTAGTGCAAAGAGGCATTGCAGGTGACACGCAGTGGGCTGGGTTTCAGGAGAGGAACCCGAGCATATGGAACCCGATTCTTTTATAATAGGCAATAAGCATGCTCATCCTTTGCTCCAGAGGGAGTCAAGGCTCCAAGGCTGCTCACTAGGAGGTACAAACATCTTTGAAAAGACAGTCTGGGACACAGGCCACTGGTGTCGCTGCCCGCAAGATGTGCAGAAACAGGACACTGGCAGAAGCTTTCCCTGAAGCCTACGTGGTGCTTCCTAGGCCCTTCCCTGTGAGTGGGTCTCCTGTCCCTACACATCACCCGTCTCAACCCAGCCTGGCTTCTGGGCTTAGCTACATGTACATTTTCCTGTTTAGCCCGGAATGAGGGGCTTCCGTCACTCCACTGCCGGGGTAAAGTAAATGAGGTGCAGGCAGCTCTAAATGCCTTCAGGCTCTGCCTTCTTCCTTATTTGGGGGTGGGCTGGGGACTGCAGTGGTCCCAAGTGTGTGTGACTGACGATCTGTGGGCTCTGGACTCTCGGAGATTAGGAGACCACCCGGTTTCGGACCTGCTACTCATGCAAAGGCTGCTGGCTCCTCTAGGCCAGGACTCGTGAGCTCTCCACACGCCCCAGCCACCAAGTAGAACCAGTCGCGCCCTCCACTGTAGCCTTCTACATCAGCAGTCAAACTTTCATAAAAAGGCTGATAGTAAATATTTTAGGCTTTGTGAGCCATTCAGTCTCTGTTAAGACCACTCATCTCTGTCCTGTGTAGCACAAAAACAGCTAAAGACGACGTGTAAACTAATGGGTGTGGCTCTGTTTCAATAAAAACATACTTACAAAAACAGCTGGCAGACTGGATTTGCCTCTCAGGCTGTGATTGCTGCCCCCATCCATACTCTGAACATCTGCCTCACAGGCTTATTTACAAATGTCTGTTCCAATAACAGACTGGTGGAGCCCTGGGGAGAGCAGCACATGCTCCTCGCAGGCCCCCACTCGGAAGCTCTGCACGTGGGCGCAGCAGCGTTGCCTGTCCAGTTCAGCTTCCGGGAGGACACAGGGCAGCTCTGGAGCCGACCTGCTTGGATCTGAATGCCAGTTCTTCCCCCGTGGGACTGGTAAGGAGTAGCACCGACCTCGTGGAGATTTCATGAAGCCCCAACCTGCTTTCCTACCCTTCAGACATGATTACATCTATATATTTATATATGTATAAAGAGAATGAAAACAGTAAAAAACAAATTGATACCATTTACAATGAACGTGAAGAACAGTACGGGTGTGTGTGTGTGCGCATGTCGAGAGAGAGAGAGAGAGAGAGAGAGAGAGAGAGAGAGAAGAGAACCAACACCAATTACTGCAAAAAGAAAAAAGAGGAAACAGGCAGGGAGGGAGAGGGGAAAATCTTGCTCCATGCTCCACACAGTTCCGTAAAAGTCCACAGGTCAGAGCTGTGGAGGCTTACACAATCTCAGCAAGTAGAACAATTCTAAGCACGCTAGAGTTGCTTTCACTTTACCTTGGATGGAAGGAAATCATAAAAAGGAGTTCTGCCTTTGGGATGTAGAGCAGAAGGTAATTAAATTTAGTCTTACTGGGACCTTGTTTCCATGGGATAAATCAGCTCTTGTTTAATTCCATTCATACCAACACAAAGGCCTTTCCCCGCAAACCAGGTGTATAAACAAAGAGAAACCACATCTTCCTGGGCAAAACTGCTTTTCCTGGTTGTTTCTTTTTAATCAGCATTGGGGGAGATGTGGCGATGTCTGTCCACGGATTTGCGAACCCAGGAGTGCGAACGGTGGGTGGGCACTGTGAGGGGGAGGAAGGAGCGGGCTGGACAGTGGCCCAGTGGGGCACAAGCACAAGGACGGGGTTGGGGGGCCTTGGGCAGCGTGTGCCATGTTCCCCCAGGCTCTGGGCTGCTCTGGACAAGGACATGACACAAGAGGGGGCCCAGCAGCATCTCTGGCAGCTCACAGGACGATGGTAGCCGGGGTCTTCTCCCTAGACGGGGAGGGGGGCACTGAATTCTCCCCCAATAGCTTCCTCTCTGACTCTTCCTCATTCTGGGGGGGAAAAAAAAAAACAGAAAAAAACATCAATCCTTACAGAAAAAAGGGATGGCGGCAGAGTTAGCTTCATAGAACGTGGACACCAAGAAGAGGAAAGAAGGGGAAGAGACGGGAAACACGCATGGACCACGCCAACAGGGCAAGGTGGCAGAGGAAGGGGCGTCAGACAAGCACCCACACACCTGGGACAGGGAGGTGGGGAAACCGGGAGATCAGAGCAGAGGAAGGGGCAGCGGGGCACAGCCACCTGCCCTGCCCCCTGCTGTAGTGATGGGGTTGCACTCCCCAGACCACGGAGGGAAGAGCGGGCATGGGAGGGAGCTGAGCCAGGTGCCACCGGCTGAAGGCGCTCCTGGCTCCGGCACTCCTCCTGCACCCTCACTCCCACTGCCCAGGCCCTCGCTGCCCCGCAACTCCCCCCAGACAACTCACCAGGAGCCTGGAGCTCTGGCTACACAGGCTTCGAAGACCCAGTCCCAGGGAAGCCAAGGACACGATAACTTTCAGGACACAGACAGCCAGGAGCAGGGCTCGGATTGCTAGGAACAAGTTCTGGAGATCAAGGAACAAAAAGATAGTCAGGAGGCGGCTCTGCCAACTCTGCCCACACCACCACCTTCTTCCCCACCACGCACAGACTGCCCGGCGAGCTCCGACCCACCACGGCAGCTGTGTTTCCCAGCGATGGGGGCAGCCGCAACTTCCATCCCATCTGCTCGTCTGCAGGGTGGCCCCACCACTCCCTAGCAAGAACTAGAGTCTCCTTCTCCACCCCTAGAATCCAGAAGGACCTGTGACTATTTTGGCCACAGTGAAAGTGGCACTGTATGGTGACAGAGGTAGCCCTTAACTGGCCTGATAGCTTCCACTTGCTACTGCTTGAAATGCTCACAGTTGGGGTGGTCCTGTGGGAACCCAGCTGCCATGCTAGAGCCCAGGCCACATGGAGAAGCCACTGTGGGCTCTCTGGCTGGCAGCCCCAGCTGCCATCCAGCCCAGTTGAGCACTGGATGACTTTGCCCCCAAATGACATCTGACTGCAACTGCCCATCTGAGTCCAGTCAACCCACAGAACTGTGAGAATTACTAATAAATTATAGTTTTAAGCCACTTCATTTTGTGGTGATTTTTAATTCAGCAATAGAAAATTGGAATACCCACACACAAGAAAAGACAGACGGTGGCCCACAATCTCCTCTGTGAAATGTCTCCTCTTTGCTCCCCATCCCCTTTGATTCAGAGAACCTTCATGCCATGAGGATCTGAGAAATGTTTTCAGCTTAAGTTAAAACCTCCTGGAGCAGAGACCTAAGGTGAGGTCCAAGCTGGGAAAGCCTACACCTCTGGGCTCTCCAGGCCCCAACACCTCGGGAGCAAAGGGCTGTGACAGGGCCCTGAAGCCTGGACTCCGGCTCTCACCACCAGCATTCCCATGTAGGCCCGGCACTGCTCCGCCCGCCAGTCTGAGCGGTCCATTCTCTGCCTCCAGATGTACCCAGTGGTGGGGTCGACAGACCCTGGGCAATCACACACAGAGTCGATGTAGAAGAAGCCGTCGGTCTGCCAGGTTAAGCTGTTCACGCAGAGGACAAGGGCAGCCACGGCCGTAGCAATGCCAGCCAGGGTGAGCAGGAAGGATACACAGCCCTAGCAGAGACAGAGTCAGGACACAGATGCAGAGCTGTGAGGTCCCCGCCTCAAACCCAGCTGTCTTCCCCAGCCCCTGTCCAGGAAACACCCCCTGCCCCTCTGGGAAAGACCGCAGGATACTGGGAATCAAAGGGTAGACGACAAAACAATGGAGCAGACACAGGAGGGGGTGGATGGACAGGGTGGGGGACAGAGACGTCTGAGACTCACTGAAAGTTTGCCCCGGTGCTTCTCGTGGACTATGGCCCCAGCCCCGGCTGCAATCGCCTGGGAGGGGAAGAAAGAGGCCTCCAATGTACTCTCCTGAATTGGGCTCCCACCACCCTTCCACCCAGGTTCCCAGAACAGCCAGTCTGAAGCGGGGCCTGAGAGACAAGCAAGGAACCCAGCACAGGGACAGGACTCCAGGCCCAACTGCCCCCTTCCCGCCTGCCGGAGAGGAGAAATGGAGCAGCGGGGCTGCACCTGCCCCACGAGGCAGCATCCTCACGGCAGGAGCACTTGCACCTGAGTCTTTGGACGCTCCCCAAATCCCCGGCCCTGCTGGATCCAAAGGAACTTTCTCCTTGCCCATGACCACTCGCCGCCCGCGGAGCTCACAGCCTGTCCTCACTCACCACAGACCCTGCCCAGAAGGCGCAGCCCGAGGCCCGCAGCTGGATCCAGGGCCCAAAGTAGAGACACACCCCGAGGGCACAGCTCATGACCCCCAGCAGTATCTGAGCCACCTGCAAGACAGGATGAGAAACCAGACCCCTCCCGTGAGCCCACGTGCCCTGCAGCCCCAGGAGCTGCTGCCCAGCTCCCAGCCAGGCGCCCCAGTCCCCTCCTCTGCCTTGACCTCTCCACAGCTCCGATTCTGGAAGGTTCTGTGCCCTTAACATCCATGAGGCTGCACTGGCCTGGGTCTCCCCTCATCCCTCTTGTAGGCTTGGCTGTTTATTCTCTATTACTTTTTCCCAACTTGAACTCTTTCTCATCCCACCTGAGTAGTCCCACTTTCTTCCTCCTCGTTTTCCCGTGGGAGTCCCATCACCTATCCAGACTCAGCCTGAGCTCAGCCTGGGGCCCTAACCTTCGGATCCAAACAGATACTTTGGAGGGCTCTGTGGCAGACACAAAAATGTACTGCTAAGACCTTCTCCAAGAAAGGGGTGTGGCTGCTGAGAGCTGACTGTTGTCAGCCCCTTCGGGGTCAGCCTCATCTTTTCAGCTGAGGGCACACTCTTCGGGGAACCGCCCCAGAAAATGATTACGCAAGGCAGTGGCTCAAGGCCATTCTCCCCAACGTGGAGCTCCTGCGATGGGCAGTCTTTGCCAGCGGGCTCCCCGCTGCCTGGCAGAGTCGGCATTGCAGCCTGAGGGCTCCCTCTGCCCAGGCCTGCACCCCCACCTTTCATTTCAGGGGTGTTACACCTGAAATGAAATAAACCATCTGCACACCTAACTCCCACTCAGCCTCTACTTCCTGGAGAACCCAACCGTTACCGCCTCTTGAACATCACCACCTGCATGTCCTGCCAGCATCTCGGATTTGTCACATCCAAATTCCACACCATCCCACACACACCTCCGATGTCTGCCCCTCCAATCTCCCGGTCATCCACACTTCAAACCTCTGCATGATTTTGCACTCTTCCCTTGTGCCCCAAACTCATTCACTCCCAACTCACGGAAACCCTATCCACAAAGGACTTCGACTCCTGTTTCCTCACCACTTCTGCTATGGTCACGCAGTGCAGACGCTCGATACTGCTTACCTGGATACCTCCCAACTCCGAAGCAGCCCAGAGCCCAGGTTCCTGCTCAGAATCTATCCACAGCCTTCCCACTGCTGAGGCTGGTTCAGGACAGACTCCTTGCCCTGTCCCTCACGGCTCTCGGCAACATGGCCCCGTGTCAACCACGTGGCCCCTCTTCCTTGCTCTTCACTGCTGCGGTGCTGCCCTGTGCTTTCTGGCCTCTTTGACTTTTCTCCTGCCATTCTCATAACCTGGGATTCTTTTTCTTCCACCTTCCACCTAAAGCCACTCCTCCTCCACTCAGGGTCCTCCTGCCCCCCGAGGATGTCAGGTGTGTTCCTGGTTTCTCACCTCACCTGATCTACCTTTCATTCTAGCTGTTTGGGTAGTTACCGGATCCCTCCCAATGGATGCTAAGCATTTGTAGGAAATAGCCTGGGGGTTCTCTCTGTAATTTTCCCTGAAGTGTCCAGCTCGCGGCCTCACACCTGCAAGCCCCCAGTGCATGCGGGTTCAATGAAACTGAATGAACAGCCGCCAGAGGTTCCTCCTGTCGCCCCACCTCTGATTGGGACTGACCCTTCTGCATCAAAGAGGTTAATTATTCCTTTATATACCAATCTCTGTGGGGAAACTTCCAAAACCTTTTCCTATACAAGACGAGCTATAGTGAGTTCTCTTGTCCCTCCGCATAGGAATCCAACCCTCTTTCCTTTTTTTGCATCCTATTGACAAAGGAGGGTTTCCATTGTGGAAGCTGGTCATACAAATTGGGTCAATCTTGTCACAGCCAACTAAAACAGAGTCTGGAAGCCAGAAGGAAAAAGCACTTAGGACACAAAATGTTGCTTCAAGAACGTAATTCTCAGCAAGCGTGGCTGCTGAAACCACCTGCTGGGACTCTCAGAACAGTTGTACCCACACCGTCACTCACCCGTCAGATCTTACCAGCTCCCCAAACCTTACTAGTGCCAATTAACTTTCTTGAAGAACATGTAACATTTCTCCTTTTATCAATCTTTGTTCTAAAAACATACAGAAGATCATGTGGTTTGTGTGGATACCCTAAATGGCAATTCTTTCCTCCCAAATGAAACATTTTAATTTCAGAGATTCGGCTCTATATTTTAGTTGGCTCCAAGCCCACCATCCTTGTCACGTCCTTCATCCACCTGCCAGCCCATTCTTACCCCTAGAGCCAGCTGCCCATGGCTTATCCTGGTCTTGGAAGGTCTAGTGTCCACAGAGCAAGAAAGAAACTGCTTCAGGGAACCCAGAGCTTTCAGCAGTTCTGACAAAGCTGACTCCTGGTGGATGTGGATGTTGATATGGGTGGGCTGGGTTGACGTAGAGGCCACAGCAACTCCATTCACAGTCACCGTGTTCTGGTCCATCGTGCCTGCTGGGAAGAAGACCTACAGAAGTGAAGTCTGGGAACTAGGTAAGGTAAAAGCGAGTACACAGCACAGGTGAGGGGAGAGAAAATGGTCTCCTTGTCAAGATCCAAAGGGTCTTCCAGTACAGATATCAATGTCACAGTGACCTTAATCTGGGATGTAAATCTGAATCACTTGTAGAGCTGTTCACCACATACGTTCTTTGGCCCCTTCCCAAGATTATCTAGTACAGCTTGTCTAGGGTCTAGGGTGGGACAAAGAAAGGAATCTGAATTATTTTAGTGATTTAGTGTATACACCTTTACATATAATACTTTTACTAGTTAAAAAATTCAAAAGACACGAAAGGGTACACCTATCTCCCACCTTTTTCTCGCAGCCACCTAGTTGCCTTCCAGATGGAAACATATTATCAGTTTCTTATAAATGCTACAGTGACATTTTCTGCATACAAAAGCATGTAAAAACATGATTTCTCCCCCCGCTTTTCCTGCAAATAGCAGTATACTATACACACCGATCTGCACAATGCTGTGTTCACATGACCATTTGTTTTTAGGATAATCCTAATCAGTCCATAAAAAGTGCCAACCTAAGTAACAGACAGAGGCTCTCTTTAAAAAAAATATGGGAATAGGCACTGCAGTGGGAATACACGTGCCACAGTAAACCACGTGCATATTCAGGGAGGTAAAAGAAGACAAAGGGTTTTAAAGGAAAAGTGGGGAGAGCCACATAATAGGTTTGGGATAATTATCCTTGGCTACAACGATCGATAACAAGGGTGACCCCAGTCCAAGGGTGGACAGGCAATTGCTGGGCAGATGTCCTCGCAGACGCATGTTTTGTATAAGGTTGTGATGGCCTTTGTGCAAGGTTGTGGTTTTTGCAGAGTACTTTGTGATAATTTTTGTTATCAGGCACTTCTGCATAAGAACCCTTCCTTCATGGCCTTCCCAGCTCTATTTGTCAGGGCTTTTTGTTTTTTGTTAGCATAAGTGACTCCATTTTGATTCTGACAACTTCTGCGAAAGCTTCTTCACTCATTTCTGTAATTACATAGTATTCCAGTGTATAGATCCATCTTAATTTATTCAAGTGGTCCCTTATTGATAGACATTTAGGTTATATCCAATCCTTCCCCATTATAGTCAACGTGGAATTAGCAGGTTGACAGGAAAGTGCATTTGCAATTTTAGCAGCTATTGCCAGGTATCCTCCATGGAGGTGGCAGCCAATCACACGCAGATGTGCCATCCAAGAGTGGAGCTGCCCCTTTCCACTGCCAACAGAGTGTGTTAGCAAATTCTTTTATCTTTTTCAATTTTATATGGGGAAAATTATACTCCATTGTAGATTTTAAACAATGTCATGCAATAAAATGCCCCATTTTAAATGTACATCTCAATGAGTTTTGATAAATTTATACATTCGTGCAACTACAGCTATAATCAAGATGTACAACATTTCTATGTTGCAAAAATTTCCCTAGTACCCCTGCCCAGGAAAGCCCCCAGCCACTGGCCACATGCAACCACTGATCTGCTGTCTGTAACTATTTCGGTATAGTTTGAATCTGTAGTTCTATTATGAGTGAGGTTGATCATCTTTTCATGTTAAGGGCCATATTTATGTCTTCTTTTGTGGGCTCCCCATTCGTGTCCTATGTCCTTTCTGTTTTGTTTTCTTTCAGTCTACAGGAGTTCTTTGTTTATTCAAAAGATTACCATCTGTGATATGAGTTTCAAATATTTCTTTATAATTTGTGATTTATTTTTTTACTTTGTGTTTTTATATAATCAAAGTTTCATTCTTTTTCTGGTGTCTAGATTTTATATCATACTTTTAAAGGACTTCCCCATTTTGAGATTATAAAATAATTCTTCCATATTTTCTTCTAAGAGGTTTTATGCTTTCAGTTTTCACTTTTAAAGGTTGATTTATCTGGAATTTATTTCCGAAGTTGGAAGACATGGATCCAAGTTGTTGTCGTTGCAGTTCAGATGGTTAATTTCTGAAGGTTGTGCTCCATTTGTGGAATACATCATCTTTCTCTCACTGATTTAAAATTCTCTCCTGAGCAAACAGGAGGTTCCCATAGGAATTTAGACCTATTCTAGTCTTTATATTCTGCCCATTGGTATGTCTGATAGTCATGCATTGTTACCACAATTTTAATTCTAAGTGCAGAGTTTAATATCTAATTGGGCTGTTTCATGATCCTCTTGCGGTTAGTTTTTTCTTTCAGAATTGTCTCCATTTTTGCTAGATTATTTCGCCATGTACACTTCAGAATCAGTTTGTCTACCTCCAAATTAAATCCTGCATAGGCCGTTCTAAGGGGCATTCTGGTTAAGTATCACAGCTTAAATCAAATATTAATAACAACTCTAATAACACCTCCCATTTGTGCTCTGGGTACTTTTCAGAGCAGTTTCACTCTTTCACCCATCTGGCCTCCTTTGAGTTAAAAAGGACAGGTGTTTAAGGGGGTGGCTCACACCTGTAACCCTAGCACTCTGGGAGGCCCAGGTGGAAGCATCACTTGAGATCAGGAGTTCAAGACCAGCCTGAGCAAGAGCGAGACCCGTCTCTCCTAAAAATAGAAAAAATTAGCCAGGCATGGTAGTGACATCTGTAGTCCCAGCTACCGGGGAGGCTGAGGCAGGAGGATCGCTTGAGCCCAGGAGTTTGAGGTTGCTGTGAGCTAGGCTGACGCCACAGCATTCTAGCTTGGGTGACAGAGCAAGTCTCTGTCTCCAAAGAAAAAGACAGATGTTTGACAATTCTGCAGATACACAAAGGAGATTCAGACTTACAGACACACAAAAGGAACTCCAGCCTTGATCCTTTGATTCCTGCCAGACTTCGCACGCCTCCGGCTCCAGCCCGGTACCACCCCTTCCCTCGCCCCACCCGAACCCCAACATGCCTCGCCAGGCTCTTCCCCTGAAGAGCAGGATCTGAACCAGGCCAGCCACGAAGACTCCCCTCCCCAGCCGCCGAGGTTCCAGGTGGTGGGGCTCCTCCCTGACGCCTGGACACTTTTCTCTGCCCAGCTCCTCTGTGGCCTGGAGCTGGGGAAAGAGGCCGGCACTCCTGCCAAGCCCTGGGCCCGCCGTCCCAGCAGCCATTCCATCTTAGGGCACCGGTGGGTCGCAAAGGAGCCTCGTCCACCCCAGCCATGTTCCTAGGGTAACATCCCATCTAGCGTGTTCCTCCCACTCACGCGAGTCCTGCGGGAAACCAGGAATGCGGGAAGAATGGCATCCCGTGGACAGGATGGGGCTTGGGGGGTGGTCTTGGAGACTCCTCGAGAGAGGGGTGCTGCGGCAAGCGAGACCCTGGGAAAGGGGCCACCCGGGCTGCGGAGGGCCCCGCCTCACCTGCTGTTCTCCCGGAGTCAGAGCGGAACGAGGCTGCCAGGAGCCGACCCGGAGCTGCGGACCCGCGGCGGGAGGGCGGGGCGGAGGGGGCGGAGGGCTAGGCTTGGCCTGGGCCCTGCGGCTTCCCGGCGAACAGCTGGGCGGAGGGGCCCGCAGGGGGGTTCGGTCTCCAGCAGACGGTCTGCGGGAGCAGGCGGAGCCCGCGCGCACACTGGCGCGCGCTCACAGCAGGCGGCACGCGAGGCGCGCGCACGCACAGCCAGGCCCTCCCTGGTCCAGACTGCCCTGGCCCGGGCGCTGGGGCGAGGACAAGCTCAGGCTTTCCCGGGCCGCTCCCCTCGCCCTCCCCACCTCCCGCGCCCGGAGCCCAGTGACCCACCGGCCGCTGGAAAGCCCCAGAGGGGTCCCTGGGCCCAGCCGGCTGCCAGGAAACCGTGGGCGGAAGCCCGCTCCTCCCCGTCCTCCCCGCCTCCCGCCCAGCCGCGGTCCTCGCCCCCGCCCTGCGCCGCACTCTCGCCGCGGGCCCCAGGACAGCAGGTGAGGCGGCGCCCCACGCCCTGGCCCCTGCAGGAGCTCTGGGCACAGGACCCTCCCCAGGGCTGTCCAGGGCCGCCCCGGCCCTACCCTGCGCCCTTGTAGCCCGCTGGAGAGGGAGGAGGGTCCCCGCACAGGGATGTGACTCCAGAGAGGGCCCGAGAGAGACCAGGTGCGCCCGTGGCCTTTGACCTTCGACTGCGCTGCAGATCAGTCCTTCCCGGGGGAGGGCGGGCTGGAGCAGGCCATCCCCGCGCGGAGGGGCCGTTAGTAGAGAGGGAGGTCAGGGCTGGGGCCCGGAGCCCAGCCTGGGCGCAGCTGCTGCAGTGGGAGCTCCGCAGGCAGCCGGGCTGGGGCTCCAAAGAGGTGGGCGGCATTGTCAGAAGGGGTGAGCACGACAGAGGGGTGAGAGGTGGGAGCGTGGGACACTGCTTTACCCAGACTCCAGGGCCCTGGGAGGAGGAGGAGGGAGACAGAGCAGATCTAGGGCTAAGGGGGAGGTTCCAGAAGGCTCAGCAGTCTCGAGCCCCAGCGGGGTCAGGGTGCCCTGACAGATGCCCTCGGAGGGGGCCAGGAGGGCAGCCTTGTGACCAGGGGCAGCCATTCGGTGTCCCTGAGCTCCCCAACTCCAATGAAATGTGTAAAAATCTTCTGTCAGCTCTTTCTCCCTGCTGCCCCCTTCCTCCCTCAGAGGTGTCCTTGACCATGGGGATGACAGAGGGTGGTGAGCTGGCATCAGAGGCCCCACAGCCCACCCACATCGACGTGCACATCCACCAGGAGTCAGCCCTGGTCAAGCACCTACTGACCGGATGCTCCTGGCTGCAGCCCCCGGCTCGCAAAACCCCAGGCAGCAGCCGGCTGCTGGTGGCCTCATGGGTGAGTGTGGCTGCTGACCTTATGGGCCCGGACACCCCAGCCCCCTCACAGCAGGCCAAGGAAGGGCTCTCTCCTTGCCGTGCACACCCTCTGCCAGCCTCTCTCTAAATGGACGCAGAGCCAGCTTATCCTCTGACTTAGAAGGAAGCTCCCTGGCCTTCTCAGCAGGAGCTGCGGGGAGGGAGGCTTGCACTGAAGGGCCGAAAAGGAGCTGCTGGCTGTGCACAGCCCGTCCATGGAGCCCTGAGTCTGTCCTCTCCCCTCAGCCACACTCAGGAAGGACAGCCTCTCCTCCCTGCTCCTCTTCCCTATGCTGCCCTGCCCTTCTCTTTCCTTCCTCCTCCTCCCCCTCCTCTCTCCCTCCCATACCTCTCCCTCCTCTCCTCTCCCCCTCCCTCCTCCCTCTTCTCCCTCTCCCTCCTCTGCTTCCCCCTCCCGCTCTCCCTTTCTCTTTCAGGGGTTTTAGACATAGATACCTAGAGGGGCAGGCCCACAGAGCTACCCTAGGGCTTGGGGGCAGAAGGCTGCCTGTGTGCCCAGGCATCTGGGAGCTGGGTTCTTAGGCCCTTTGTCTTTCAGGTGGTGCAGATTGTGCTGGGGGTCTTGAGTGGGGTCCTGGGAGGATTCCTCTATCTCTGCAACTACTCCATCCTGCTCGGCTCGGGAGCTGCCATCTGGGCAGGCGCTGTGGTGAGTCTGGCAGGTCGGAGGTTGAGGCCCAGTCAGAGGTGGAGGTGCTGCTGTCCTTGTGGCCTTCATACCACCACCGTCCACGTGCCGCAGAACGCTAGCCATCAGAAAGACCCTGATTATCCAGGCCCATTCCCTGCCAAAGGAAGTGGTGGCATGTCCAAAGCCACATGGTCAGCTCTCCGGGTTCCCTGCCCAGTGCTTCTCCCACCAGGCTGGCTGCCTCTAAGCACCTTCAACAGCAAATATCAACTAGGGGTCTAAGGACCCGCTCACCTGCAGATGCTTGTGTTGAGAGGGGAGGCAGAATGTGCCAGACAATATGTGATCCACAAGGAATTGTCACCTCCTGGTTACTCCCATTGTCCTCTGCAGGTCCTGCACACAGTGGGAATCCAGGATTGATGTCTGCAGTGCAGTCTGCATAGCAGCTTGGTAGGATGGAGCCACCTTTGGTCATATCCACACTCTCAGAATATCAGCAAAACACACATTTTTTGAGAGAGGAGCCGGAAGTAATCATCCTTATCCATCCAATGGCAAAAACACACAGATTAGTTACAGAGTAGCCAAGTAGATTTGGATCCATCTATCTGGTGGGATATACTAGACTTCCTGGTCTTCCAGCCCAGCTGGGTGCACTGCTGGAGCACTGGTAGGCATCTAGACCCAGGGCAGCTCAAAGACTCACACTGCACTGACAGCTTCTCCAGCACACTACGACTTCCAGCCACAAGATCCCAATGTCCCTGGAATGTTCATAAAGTACTTGGTGTTGCTTAAAAAGGAAGGTTTTGCAGGAGAGAGTGCCTGGCTTGACCACAGCACTGTCTGGTGTCATTGAAACAGTGTTCTGCAACCTCATGAGTTTGATCCAGACTCAACACCCTCGACAGTTATCTTAGCACAGACACAAAGCTTAGCACAGAACTTTGTACCTGTGAGCCCATCCATGTAGAGGTGCTGGGGAAGGCCTGGCCACATGTCAGCTCCCTCTGCAGGGGTTACTAGGAAAACAGAAGCAGGCAATGGGAGGGGACTCACAGTTCCTGTGCTAACCCTGCTCCTGGCTTAATCTCTCCCTAGGCTGTGCTGGCTGGAGCTGTTGCCTTCATTTATGAGAAACAGGGTGGCATCTGCTGGGTGAGTTCAGGAAAGGGCAAGGGAGGGGGCCAGGCTCAGGCTGGAGGCCACCGCAAGCTTCTGCCCTTTCATACACCGGCTCCACTGGGCCTTGCCTTCTTTCCCCTGGACTGGGCTCTGGGAGAGACTGAATCACTGAGGTCTCCCTCTGCGTCCTCCCTCCCCAGGCCCTGCTGAGGACCCTGCTGGCACTGGCAGCTTTCTCCACAGCCATTGCTGCTATCGTCTCTGGGGCCGATAGTTTCCTGTACGGCTATAGTGATGGAGACTATATCTGCAGCTGTAACTCCCCGTCAGAGCGGTGGTACACCCCACCCCCTAGCACCCAGAGTCCGGAAGAAGTCAGAAGGCTACACCTGTGCACCTCCTACATGAACATGCTGCAGGTAGGTGGCCGAGGGGAGGGGCAGGCTGGGGACCAGAGTCAGGCTTGCCACCAGAAATAGGTGTTGCCTCTTCTGCTCCAGGCTTCATTATTGTCACCAAAGACACAGCTTTGAACAAAGCAGAAACAGCTCCGGCAGTCGTGGGTGTTATAGACTAGCAGTAAATACAGACGTTATTAAAATAATAACAACTGAACCAATATTGCAAGTGTGCACGTGCTGCAGAGGTGCTAAATGAATGTTCTTCCTGGATCCTCTCAAGTCTTGGAGGTTATAAGGGAGTCAAATCATAGCCCAAGCCCAACACTGTGCAAGTGAGGACACTGGCCCACTGAGAGGGGTTTCTGGCTACATTCTGCACACTGGGTACATTACCCCCTCCAGAAGCCACGAACTTGGGGATGAAGGGGTGGAGAGTGACTCATGTCAGTGAGCAGTGTGGGGACATAACAGGAAGGCAGTGTCACCCTGGTGTCTGCAGCCTTGGTCCTCTGTCCCCAGGCCTTGTTCATAGGCCTTCAGGCCATGCTCTTGGGTATCTGGGTTCTGCTGCTTCTGGCGTCTCTGGCCCCTGTGTGGCTGTACTGCTGGAGAAGACTCCCATGTAAGGAGGTGAGTCCCTGAAGTGCATGCCTGGGTGTCTGGCAGCGGGGCTGTTCAGAGGAGACGGGAATGGAGAGTGGATAGTTTGCAGTGGAGAAAAGGGCCCGTTACACAAGTCCCAAGTAGCATTTTGCCTGTCTTTCCACCCCAGTGGTGGCCCAGCCCAGAGAGTCCCTGTCCCCAACCAAGTGGCCCCCAAGCAAAAGACCCCAGGAAGCCAGGCAAGTCCACATCCATGCCAGGCCCTGGGGCTCTCCGCGTCAGGGCCCAGGTGGCCAGCGTTGGAACTGGCTGGCTGCAGAACCAAGCTGCCTGGAAGAGGGAATTCACCCTTTCTCTCCCAGTCAGGGTGGTCTTGCCCTTCTCCCTCCCTTAGGAAAAAGACCAGAAGAAGCTGCTGGAAGTGAGCGGCAGCTAGCCCTGTGGCTGCCTGCCATAACTCGCGCTCCGTGTGCCGCTTCTGCAGTGGCAGCCCCGCCTCTGCCTCCTGGAAGATAGGGAAGGAGGCTCTTCAGTAGCCCCGGTCTCGGCTGCAGCCACAGCCACTGCTCTGCTCCACCTGCTGTCACAGCAGCGCTTGCCCATTTCCTGCTCCCTCATCACTCTGCTCTGCCGCGGGTCCCCTCCTGAGCAGTAATTTGATAATAAACCCTCGCGCTGTTGTTCACAGCTTCTTGCTCGGTTATTTCAGGGACTTGCTCTTAGCTGGAGGAGGCAGTGGAGAATGAGTCGACAACAGACCTGAGTCCAGAACAGCCAGCCCTGCGGCTAGACCCTCTGGGAGGCCGGTCCTGTGGCTGCAGGCCCAGTGCTGGGGAATGAAA